AGATGAAAGATATTCTAGTTAGAAGTCCAAGTAGAAGCCTCTGCAATGCTGCCACTTTCAACTGAGAAATGTAAAACATAACATAACGTCCAAGACCGAGTAATAGTATTAATGCCACCCTTAAAATCTTAAAAGATGTCCTAAGGTGTCCTTATCATATTCCACTTTTTGACTATGCTGTCTCCTTATGAAACCAGAGATCCTGGAGGATGACAGTGAACTATAAAAAATCACCCACGGACTGTCCTTATTGCAGCCTATGCCAGATATGGTGTTTTTGCTAGAATAGATTAACATGGTTTAATAACATGGTATGTGTCCAGAATATATTATTTTTCAATTTTGTTAGGAAAGAAGATCAGAAGTAATTTTACCTTAATTTTGGACAGACAGTAGTATACATTTGCAGTCTTGTCCTAAAGCTAAACTAACTTACACTTATTTTCATAATATAGTCCAAAGGGATATGGGCCATCTGGGCCATTAGTAAATACATGATTGATTTACTGTATCAATGAGATTATGTTCCTCAGTTCAGATGAACAAAAAATGACAGGTACATTGGATATCTTGGTAAGATACACATAATCCAGAGGGTTGAAATGAGCCTATGAAAATCCAGTGATCCACAATATTAGCAAAATTTTAGAAATTCAATAGTTTTAATTTTGCCAGGATATTCTCTCCAAAGTACAAATTATCGCATCTCACAATTTCCACCTTTCAGATGGAAACACAGTGCCTACTAGATATTTTTTGGTTCTAGGTCATCTTCCACCCTTGTAAATACAATTTCAATTCATTTATCAGGTGATTTGAAAGAGTAGAAGTATCAACTCAATGTCAAATAGAAAAGGTTCTATAGTAGGCCCACACTGTGATGCAAGTGATCCTTAAGTCACACAACCCAGGAGAGTCTATGATATTAGATATATCAGTGATAGAAAAAAATTCTGTGTGGTTTACAGAAATTCCCAGAGGAGAATCATAAAGTAAAATTTTAGGATTATAAGTAAGGTCATGCTTTCTGTAGTCAAGAATTATACACCTTTCATAAAATAGCTCCAACTATGCTACTGGACATTGGTAAAAGTAGAATGCCTAAATATGCAACATCTAATGATGATGTGGCCTGAGCTGCCAATCAGAAGTTAGTTTGTCATTTTACCAAAACCCAGCCATAAAATAGGATAGACTCATCAGTAGTTCATTATTAGAGGGAAATTGAACAGCCAGAAAGAGGACTGGCCAGGGCTAAAGAACCAAGTAAGCTGTACAAGCAGGTGCCTAGACATGTATCAGTATTTTACCAGTGCCTCTTCCTCAGTTCATACCTGTCCACATAGAGAGCCACTTATGAGCAGATAGTGGAGGAAAAGGCGCAGCTAAAAATACATTCATGCTGGGTCTACTCAGTATATGTACTAAAAATTAGTCTGCTACTTCACAAGAACCCACTCTAATATGTTCCTATAGATAAGAATAAGGGATACATTTTCCCAGTAGGTAGAACTCTAGTTTTGGTGTTATACCTGATCAAACACTTTTTGTGGAAAGAGCAGATCTGTTAAAATATTTTGGTGTATCTGCAGAAGTGACATAATGTGTGATAATATTTGTATTTTATATTAATGAGCATCAAAAAGATGTATAGCAGAAGAATCACAAAACAGTGAAGTATAGTAATACAGATGTCAACTAGTTCCTGTCATTGGCCATCCTTAGCTGCACAGTAGGCTCATGAAAAAAACCAGTCATAATAAGGATAGAGGCTGTGTATAAGCTTGAAACATGGATTATCATTGTGAAGATTGATTTGTCCACTGTCACTACTGAATATTCTACCTTGTAGCAACAGAGACAAACACTTAGCTCTTGATAAAACACTATCCCTCATGAATGCCAACTACGTCCTTGGTCGCCTGTTGATTGCATCATACTCTTTTTTTTTAACTCCATAAGTGACATTGACTGAATTTGATATATATTCCTCAATGATAGGAGCAGCAGTGGCCCAGGGCAGGCGCTGTCCCACCCTGCCCTGCCAGTTCTCAGCAATGGGGGCATGGCCGCCATCTTTGCTGGGTTAATTTGCATAGCACCCCTGATTGGCTATGGGCATAGCAAAATTATGATCAATTAGCATATTACTCTTTTATTAGATAGGATGTGGAACCCAAGGAGACCCACCATTGTTATACTGTTTACCATCTAATTACATTTTACTTTTTGTTTTTAAAATTTCTGGCTTCAGAATTCTTATTTACAACATAACACACTTCATATTTTCAAAAATGAGACTCTAACAGTAAAAAATCATTTTGTACAAGGGAAAAAAAAACTCAACAATTAATCATAACACAAGTTGTTTACTTTATTCTTCAAGTCACTAAGGCTAAATTCAGCTCAGTCTCCTGTAGGATTTGATGAAGTTTATTTTTTTCATTTTTTTTATTTGATGAGGTTTAAAGTTGAAATATGATGTACATATTTCAGGATAATAATGCTAGAATCCATACATACTCTGACTTATTTAAACCAAAAGCATATATCCCTGCATAGCTAACAGAGTAAATATAAACAGAAAGTTCCTTAAAGATTTTCTGAAAATCAGCAGGTGTTCTGGAAAGTTAAACTCCAAAAGTTAGAGGTCCCGGAGGTAGCTGTGAACATATTCTAATGTGTCACAGGAGGAGAACACCTCAGAATGCTGTAAACCAAGAAATCGAAGTAAGACTGCCAAGTAATTCACATTTGAATTCTCCCCCACCCTGTTTTTTAACTGGTGAAATTTGAGATTCTGTACTTACCAGTAATTTTGATTTCTTAGGAAAATTATTACTTAACTACTTTTGCTGGCTTGCAATTATTTTAATGTATCAAAAAGAATATTTTCTGGGGAGGAATGTCTTTTAAATATTCAGATAGCATATGTTCACAAACCTTTCCATTATGTTTATACATATGGTTGCTCTTTTTCAGATTTCACTTAAGAATATGTGTTATGTATAAACATTTGATAGCCAGAACAAATGTTAAAGTGACATATTTACCTATTTAAAATGAAAGTGAGTTACTTTTAAATTGGTGAGATAAGGGTGTGAAAACAACATAGAATTAATGTGAATCTAAATAATAATAACAATAGTAATGATAATAATAATAATAATAGCTAACTTTTATTGAGCATTTATCATGTGCCAAGGCATTATGGACTATCTCATTTACTCCTCCAATAGCCCTATTAATGTATACCATGATTAATTCCAGTTAATTGATAAGAAAATTTAAGACCACAAAAGTTGTTACCTTTTAGAGTTATAAAGCCAAAGGAGTAAAGCTCATTGAAATTAATCTTTAAATATAACTAATTTTTTGCATCACTCTTAATAAGCATAGACTGAATTTATATTATAAGTAGAGTCTGGTACATGAAAATCCTTCTAGGTTGGGGGATGTTCCTCAGCCCAGCCTGCACCCTCTCCATTCTGGGACCCCTTGGGATCAGGCCTAAATGTGCAGTTGGACATCCCTCTCACAATCCAGTATTGCTGGCTCCAAACCGCTGGTCTGCCTGCCTGATTGTTCCTAACTGCTTCTGCCTGCCAGACTGTTAACCCCTTAACCACTCCCCTGCCAGCCTGATCCGTGTTTAACTTTCCCCTGTTGGCCCAATTGCCCCTAACTGTCCTCCCCTGTTGGCCTGATCACCCACAACTGCTCTTCCCTGCTGGCCATCTTGTGTCCACATGGGGGTGGCCAACTTGTGTTGGAGTAATAGTCAATTTACATATTAATTCTTATTGTATAGTATGTGGAACCTAGGGATTTTCTTTTCTGTTTCCCCATTTTTTTATATATAAGGGACTTATAACATTATATTAATTTCAGATATACAACATCATGATTCAATATTTGTATGCATTATGAAATGATAGCACAATAAGTCTGGTTAACATCTATCACCACATACAGTTATAATTTTATTTTCCTTGTGAGGAGAATTTTTAATATTTACTCTCTTAGCAACTTTTAAATATGCAATACAGTTGTTTTAAAGCAAATACAGTTCTTAATTTCTTTTTCTTTTAAGAAAAGAACCTTGCCTATAGTATATTAGAGTTTGGCAATCTGTGGCAGACAATTGCCCATTAGCCCATTCAGGCCAGGGCACTTGCAATTGTAAATAAAATTTTATTGGTACTCAGCAACATACATCTTTTATGCATTTTACCTGTTGTCTTTGGCTACTTTCACACTACAGGGGTAAAGCGGACTATATGACCCATCAAGACCAAGATACTTACATATTGTGTTTTTGTTTTGTTTTTTATCAGAAAATGTTCTCTAAAACTTGTGGTATATATCCTTATTTTGGGATGCATGCAAAATGTCAAACATTTCACTACAATATTCAGAAAAAACATTAATAACTTTTAATAGTACCTTCTATTAACATATTTTATATCAGCAGATATTATCTAAGTTATAAAATATGAAATGAATTAGAAACTTAAACTCTACAATATCAAATTTTTTGCTATAAAGATTTTAATATTTTTAAATCATTTTTAATATATCAGTTGTATATAATTGGAAGAGGTATGTCAAGGAAAAGTGTCAATTGTGCTGCCTGATATTTATTTCTCTGTACTGTGGTTCATTGCTTTAGCCAGGCTCTTGAATTTGAGGATTTTGAATTTTGATGTTTTACTTGGAGCTCTGTTTTATGCAGCTGTTGGCAAAGTGTTATAAATATGTGAGGTTATTTGTACTATCTTAACAAACATAGATCTTAAGAAGTAGTTATTACTTGTTTTTACTGTTCATCATTGGAAATTTCTCTGTAAATGAGTTTAATAACTCAATGGAAAAATGAACCTAATGATAAGCAATAAAATCAATTAAAAATGCTATTTGGTTAGTTTTTATATGTACAATAATACTTCAAAAGCCATGTAACTCAACATATTCATGCAATTGTCTTTATTTTGTTCTAGATTTGGATGATCCTATAGTAACTGTTCATCAAAGTATAGGTGAAGCTAAAGAACAGTTTTACTATGAAAGAACAGTATTCCTCAGGTGTGTTGCCAATTCCAATCCACCTGTTCGGTACAGCTGGAGGCGTGGCCAAGAGGTGTTACTACAAGGATCTGATAAAGGAGTGGAGATTTATGAACCCTTCTTTACCCAGGTAGGAATTAAGGTATAGTATATCCACCCCATTCTGCTAGGATATTATCCTAATGCAAGCCGCATGTAATATATTTATTTGAAAAGATACTTTCTTCAAACCTGGCCTTCAAAAAATATATTCTTGATTGAACCATCAGAAGACTCAAATAATGAAGAAAAGTTAATTTTCACCATCAGAAGACTCAAATAATGAAGAAAAAAATTAATTTTCACATGCTAATTCATTAAGTTTTATGTTAAATGCTTAAAAAATTAAATTAATTATCCTAACTTACCTATCTTCATAAGTTCACCTAGGTTCCATTATAAATTACATAATTATGCATTTGCTGACTGCTTTTCTTTGTAGGAAATATTTCTTAAAAAACTTGGGTTTCCCCATTTCATTAATAAATAAGTTTTAAAGAAATGAAATACACTTTGTTGGACAGTGGGAATTTTTAGCATGCTTCCAGATAGAATTGTCAATGCTGACACCAAGCCAGGCTTTGAGACATGGTCTCATGGTCCCTTCCCAGCGCATAGGCCTTCTTTCACAGAACATTGTCAGCTTTCTGAAGAACAGGATGACTCTGTAAATAACATAGTTGTCAGTGGCATGATCCTAATGTTGCTTAGGAAAACTGTTTTGTCTTGGGTTACTTGTTATGCAAAAACAGGATTTGGTAAATGGGCTTAAAAGTGGTCCTACACAAAGGGTCACTACTTTTCTCTGGACTCCCTATGTGGAGAAAGGCAGAGCAGTCACTGACTGGTTGGCTAGCCGGCCGGCCAATAAGGGCTCCCTAAATTTTAATTTGGTCTGGACTCCAGTGGTCATTCACTCGCATTCACTACTCAACATACTTGACATTTATTTCACTTTGATTTTAGAAAAAACCTGTTAATTTCATTTGTTCATTTTTGGTTTTCAGTTATTTATGAGTAGAGCCTTAATTATGTAAAAAGTAAAACATATAATGCATCATTAAAAACTTATTTTAGAAAAAGAAAAAAATTGAATTCATTTTTATAGAGTGGATTTAATGTGAAATATGTTTCTGTAATATATTGAGAGTGGAGAATTAATAATTACTGAAGAGGACATTGAAGTTTATAGGAATATATTTGAATGCTGTTTAATCAGAATGTTTTTTTTTTTTTTATGACTGCAGAGGAGCCAAAAACTATTTAAAAAGAGAAGATTTTAAAAAAATATATTTGGAAACATATTCAAAATAATTGTGTCTAGAGAATAATAACAAAAGTAATAATAATAATTCTATATAATAAAGATGTAATATGCAAATTGACCATAATGTCTTCACACAAGAGCCTGTCCCCATGTGGTCACAAGATGGCCACCACAAGATGGCTGACAGGGCAGTTATGGGTGATCAGGCCAGCAGGGGAGGGCAGTTAGGGGCAACCAGGCCAGCAGGGGAAGGCAGTTGAGGGCATTTGGGCCAGCAGGGAAGTAGTGAGGTATCTATCAAGCTGACAGGGAAATGGTTACAGAGTGAACAGGCTGGCAGGCAGAAATGATTAGGGACTTATCAGGCAGGCAGGCAATCAGTTGGGAGCCAGCAGTCCTGGATTTTGAGAGGTCTGTCAGACTGTCAGTTTAGGCCCAATCCCTGTGGACCTAAACCGGCAGTCAGACATCTCCCACAGGGTCACAGATTGGAGAGGGTGCAGTCTGAGCTGAGGGACAACCTCCCCGCCCCCACCCCAGTGTACGAATTTTGTAGACCAGGCCTCTAGTAATAATAATAATAAACAACCTGATATAGACAATAAAATAAACAGATGCTTGACTACATTTTCTAAGTTTTGAGACATTGCAAATCCATAATTAGGGAAATATACAACTAAATTTAAAATATTACAAACATTACTTTAAAAATTCCTTCAAAAGTTTAAAGATAGACTATTACATGTTTCATATCTTAACTCTCTAATGGCATAAGGTTATACTGAGTTTGTATATTTCTCAGCATCCCATTTATACCACTAAATATATTTTCATATATAGTAAACCATTTACTTTAATGTTCAAGGCCTGGCCAGTTTCACATTAATATAATTGCCAGTTTGATATATTAACTGAAAAAAATACAAAACAACTGCATATATCAAAATATCTGCATATATCGTATTTTTACAAAAAATAACATATATAAATATTATGAATATATAAGTATACATGTTTCTATATATTGCTATGTAAAGATACAGAACAGCTATTACTTGCCATAATATAAATGTCTGAAAAGTCATTGTTATATGTATTGCCAATGATATAGTATTGAAACCTGTTTTAATCTGACCCTCCCACTTTTATTTTTTTAATTGTTAACACTATTACAGATGTTCCCCCATCCCCCTTCCCTTTTTTCATCAATAATTCTCTGTCACAATTTCCGTATATATATTCTGCACAATGGAACTATATTCTTCAATTCTTACTAAAATAAAAGTTCATAAATAAAAATATAACAAAAGTTTTATTAAGTAAATGCTTAGTATATTAATGCTCAGATATCTCTAGGGTTTAAAAATTCAGATAAATGATCAATGATAATGTCTGATTATACTTTTATAAATTTATTTTTTAAATATGGGCATTTTTAAAATTATTAGAATATATAATTTAGAATTACCTCAGTGCCTACAATCATTATTATGCCAACAGACATTATCACATTTGTAGGCACCGAGGTAATTCTAAACTCCTATTGCATAGCTATAAATGGGTCTGATGGGTCTGATCACTTGGAAATGAGCACATGAGCCTTGTCCAAATCTGGGAAAAGTTTATACTTTCAAAATAATTAGGAATTTGTTTTGAAGTTATTAAACAAGCACAAAAAACTTTTCACTCATTTCTTTGAATTTGTTACTATTAGCAACTCCAAAATATTACCTTATAAGAGCTCTCAAACTAATAGCAATTGATTATGCCTTTTAAAATAACTCATTTCTCTCTTCTTTTTTTCCTCCCATTCTTTTGAGAAAGGACATTTTAACTTGACCATATCAGTACTGATATTCCGTTCTATATGAATATCACATGCTTTCTCTAACTTTGTGTGGGCTGGTACCTCTGTTATTAGATCATTTGCATTAATTCTCTTAAAAAATATTTCAGAACAAATAAGCTTTTCCAATTCTGTGATTCACCTACCGCATTTGATAATTGCTTACAACATGCATTTATAGCTTTTATTTTTTTATTTTTTATAGCTTTTATTTAAAAATGTCTTTTCTGCCTTTGGTTACTTAATTATGTTGCTTATCTCTCCTTCTGAAATGCCTGTGTATCTGTGTCTGCTCTAACAATCATTAGGAGCAATACATTATGTCAATACTTTTAAGTTATATATATATATACTTAACTTGTTGATATTAAGCATATTTTATAGGTCAGGATAATAGAAAAATTTAAATAACAACACATGGAGAATTTAGCCTTTATATCCAAAGAAAACACTGGCTTTTTCATAGGTGAAATGTTATCGATGATTTTTCTTCACATCACTTGTACATGGGCCTGACAAGTCCACCATACCACAGGGATTCCACACTTCTCCATGGAATGTGGCAATCCATTCCTAACTGGCTTCATGCTTTATTATGGAAAACTCAAACATCTGAGAGAGCATTTAAAAATGTAAACTTTTTTTGCTGAAGCCGGTTTGGCTCAGTATATAGACCGTTAGCTGTGGACTGAAAGATCCCAGGGTGGATTCCGGTTAGAGGCACCTACCTTGGCACATCCTCAGTAGGGGGCGTGCAGGAGGCAACTGATCTAGCTCTCTATCTCCCTTCCTCTGTGAAAAATCAATAAAATATATTTTTAAAAATGTAAACTTTATTTTTGATTTAATATCTCTAGTGGATACTAATATTGATGGATAAAAATTGACTGTATGGTTCAGTGTATTGAAGCCTACAAGACCATATTTGGCATTGATCTCCCTCTTCTTTAAAAAAAATATTTTTTAATTGATTTCTGAAAGGAAAGGAGAGGGAGAGATAGAAACATCAACAATGAAAGAGAATTATTGATCGGCTGCATCCTGCACATTGTACACTGGGGATTGAGCTCATGACTAGGACACGTACCCTGACCCAGAATCAAACCATAACTTCCTGGTTCATAGGTTGATGCTCAATCACTGAGCCACACTGGCTGGGCTGTTTTGTTGTCTCTTACCTAATCTTTGACATCTCGTATACTGTTCTAGTCACATCATACCTAGACATGCCAACCATTTGCATACTGTTGATTCCTCCATGTAGAATATTATTTGCTTAGATATCATGGCAGGGTCTTCTTAATCCTGAGGAATCATCCCCTCCAGAAGGCCTTCCCTCCCAGATCTATCTGAAGTAAATCCCTTCCTTTGGATAGCTACTCTCGTTTTTCTGTTATTGTTTTTTTCTCATAGCACTGAAACTATCAAATTATCTTGTTTGAATAACACTAATTTTAGAAGCTTTGTCTTTTCAACAGCAAGAACATTGTCTTTCACATGGAAGGTCCTCAACAAATATATATATTAAATATTGAGCCAATACTCCTATGGAGATGTCTGAATTACTAGCCAAAGGATGGTTACAATTGACACTTAGTTTCTAGTAATTCCTGAATCATTCCATAACTCTACTCACTAAAGAAAACTTAATGAATTGTGATTTAGAATGATGTTATAACAAAACTTATTTTAATACACTTCATTTCCAGACTATGATAACTTTCTAGTTATAATTTTTTAAATTAAAATGTATTATTTCTTGACTCTGAAGTCTATTTCTTGACTTCAAGTTACCATTCTCTGAAGCCTATTTTTTTGTGTGTTCTTAAAAAGTTTTTAATATTGACGTTATTATAGACTTCTCTCATCTCCTCCTCTCCCTTTGCCTACCTTCACCTACTCGTCTTCCCTTCTTTTGGCCTTTGCCACACTATTGTCCAACTTATTTTTAATTAATTTCTAGTTCAATTTCATTGTA